TTTTTTTTTTTTTTACGATGGGACACAATCTGCTTTACTGCTCTTCGAAAACTTAAGAACCTCTCCGATCTCCGAACCCACAATCGAGCGAGAGTCAGACAATAAAAATTGAGTTACAAACTTTTTTGTTTTTGTTTTGTATGTCAGCAAAAATGTTCAAATATATATAATTGTATATATATATGTATATATATTTCTTCTTTTTGTTTTTTAAACCTAAACAATTTATTTATGAATTTTTTTGTTTGTTTTCTTTTTTTTCAAAATATCACGTATATATCTTAAGTTATGCCTTGGATTTATTAGTTGCTGTGTGGGTGTGTGTGTGTGTATGTATATGTTATGTTAGGCATTTTTCAGGCCATGTAGACTATACCTCAATTTCATAACTAATAAAAAAAGAAACGAAACGTTTGACTTGGGCTTAAGTAAGTATGCCTTATGTGTATATGTATGTGTATGTGTATGTGTGTATGGGGCTTATATATTGGTGGTTGTAGTTTTCAACTAGAGCATATCAATTATTGCTTTTATTTTCGTATGTTTTTGTGTTTCTTTTTCTTTTCTAATTATTGTTACGATTCGATTTTTAAAAATTTGTCAATAAGTTTTTATTTTTATTAACTATGCAACAATTGAGTTTTTTTAATAGCTTTTTTAAACGTTACAAATTTGTCAACAAGTGAAGTGTAAGGCGCAGCGGCGTAGGCGGCGAAAAAAATATAAGGGGCGTGGCTAACTGCTTGCATATGCAGGTCATTTTTGTGAAACCATTTGGTTCGATCTTTAAATTTGATACATATAAAATATATATATATATATACATATATATAGTACTTGTATAGTGGGCAAATAATTTAATAATAATTAAATATTTTCTGGTATTTTTTTCAGCTTAATTTTGCACCAATTGTTGAATTCTTTTTTGAACGCCGCCTTTGCCTTTTGCTCTTTGCCTTTTTAAGTATTTTTTTAAACTTAGGTTTTTAGGCCAAGTTCTAACAATAAGAGTTACGTGTAACAAAAATGGGTTTCGCGTCATACAAATGATAAACAAAGGCGAATGATGGAGAGAGTTAGCTCCTTTTCATTCACATTTTCACGCTTAGGTATTTATTCAGTATTTTTTGCTTATTTATTTATTATGCATGGTATTTTAGCACACACTTATTGAGTGTCTATGTATTGCTTTAGTTTATATATATGTATATATTTTTCTATTATTATTATTTTTTTTTTTTG